GACGGTGAAACCGATCGAGTTCTCGGTCTCTCCTTGCTCTGGTCCAACGCAGTTCCTCGCTGCTGTGGCATAAGCCGTCTCCCGCTATCCTTACATACATAAATAAATCTAAGAACGACTCGTATAGACAGGTTGCGAAGAGAATAAAAATTTTGTACCACCAGCGTTGAAGTTGTATTTTACAGGCTGTTTCATGAACAGATTGTCTCTGCATCTCAATCGCAAGAAAAAATCTGTTTGAGATTCTAATGAGATGTTGATGCATTGAGGAAAAATAAAAAGCTTTTCTAAATTTAAGAGGATTATGGAATAACAAACTTCAGTTTGTTTGAACCTGTTTTAGGTTACAAAACTATATTATATTATTATTGGTGTGGTTGTTGACTTGTATCAGTTAAATGATTTCTAAGAACATTTGCCTAAACAACCCTTTTTGTTTAGATTCTTATTACAAAAAAAACAAAAATCGCAAATGATGTCTTTCTATTATGACCTTATATTCCAAAATTTGAAATTTTTGACACTACAAATGCATATGACGAATTAATACAGCTCAAGTATCTCACGTTCCACACATAGGAACATTCTCATATAGAAAGTCTTGTGATCAAGTCACCAAGGCGTCATGGTCTATAAACGGGGGAAATTCAAAATTCACTTCTATAACTCCAAAATTTGTATGGCTTATATGTCACTTAGGCTTTGCTTGCAAACAATTAATTTAAGTGATTTTGTTTTTTTTAAGAAAAAAACACTTATTTTACTAAACAATACCAATTTTTACTTTCTCGGTTTTCGTGTAGAATCTACTTTTTACTTTTTCTATTACACAAAAAGCACTTATTTTATCAAACACTACTAACTTTTACTACCAATCACTTTTTCCCAAAAAGTGTTTTTATTTAAGCACAATCACTTGCAAACAGAGTCTTATTTCTTGTCACTTATTTCTTGAGAAGTTCTTTATCATTTGTATGCATTTTCGTTATTTTGCAAAATTTTCTTAACAGTACATTTGTATTCTCAATTTTACTATCCTCTTTTTATATACATAGCATATCCTTATTTAATAACTCACCCATTACCCTCATTTTTCTCTACTTTCATCCTCTATTCACTTTCATCTTCTGTTCTCTTTCATTTAAAGTCAAGATCATACACATATATTATTTTCTTCTTATTGGTAACGCTTAATAAAGAATTGAAAAAGTTTATGGAAGAGTTAAATATCGAAAGTGGTAAAGAGAAAATATTGAAAGAGTTGGTTTTGTATTTTTGTAGAAAAAAGTAATGGGAATACTCCTTTTCCCCCCTCAAAGTATCCAATTCCAAAGCCTTGAAAAATCATTATTCACCTAATAAATTAGAGTTGTTAAATCCTTTCTAAAAGAATATTGTTATGCCTTTGATTTCTCTTGTAGCCATCTTTGAAGTCACATTCATGTAGAGTGTTGGGTGGGGGGTGCACCCTATCACATTCATATGTCTAAGATGCTTTTTGACATATCAAGTCAGCCAACATCAATGCCAATGCCTCACCATCAGTTTTCATCTTTCTGGCCTCAATCTATATAATAATCAATTGTTCAAAGAGAAATATCCAACAAAAATGAAAAAAAGTATTTTAAAAATTGCATAAATTAATGTCGGGCATGTTTTTTTCTTGTTTTATGCCGTTATTAGTACTAGTGGAGTTATAACATTTTAAAGATTCTGCTCTAAATTAAATAAGGGAAAGTTCCCGAAATAGGACTAAAACAGTTTGAAAATTCCAAAATAAGACTGATATGTTTTGTATTCCCAAAATAGAAGTAATTACTGCCAAGTTTGGAAAATATTGCCATGTTTGAAGTCTGGTACTGCCAAAACATGACAGTAATTAATCCTGTTTTGGGAATAAAAATATGTCAGTCCTATTTTGGAATTTTCAAAATTTTTTAGTCTTATTTCAGGTAACATACATAAACAATAGTTTATGTAGAAAAGGGATGAAATTAGTAAAGTAAAAAACAGATTTTGATTTGAAAAGTTTTATAAGTAAACTAGACTTAATGAGTAAGTTCATTTGGATGTCTTCCTGATTGAATTGTTAGCTAAAATTTGGTATGAGTAAACTAGCCTTAATAAATAAGATGCTAAAAAAAATCATTAAAAAATTCCATCGCGAACCGTCCCTAATGTGACAGCCGGACAGAGTCATCACCTATATAAGAGCTTATTTGACCTTTTTATATAAGTTCGAGGTCCTATTTACCCTTTTCCCTTTTATTAAAAAATCTCCTTGGGATAATGTTAACTGTGCAGAAATAATTTGACACATAATACATTATACGGAGTATTAATTAATTTTTCAAAATTCTCAAAGAATTACTAAAATCTGAGATTGTTGAAAGTTGAAACATAACTATAGACTATAGTGAAAGCTCCTTAAAAAAAACTATAGTGAAAGCTGATCAAAGGCAAGTTCACGACGTAGAAAGCAACAATGGATGCACCCATCCAAGTATCCAACTCTTGTCACAAATTTAAGTTTTTCTCCAGTTCATATAATTGTATCATACCGTGTTCACTTTTACGTTTACACAAAACATTCTCAAATTTAAGAAATAATTATATTAAATTATTTACACATTATGTTTATGATTAAAATAAACAATTTGATGAAAATTAAATGGAGTCAATTCCCTAAATAGGACTAAAAAGTGGCAAAATTGCACAAATAGGACTACATTTTTTAAATTCCCTTAATAGGACTATTTATGTGTGTTTGGACAAATATACCCTTGTAACTTATGAAATGTTTTAATTAATAATAAAATCATAAAAAAATTAATAAAAATCGAAAAAAATACTAAAAATCGTAAAAAAAAATAAAAGAAAATTAATAAAAAATATTTTTTAAAAAAATAAAAAACATATTTTTTTAAAAAAAAAAATAAAAATAAAAAAAATAAAAAATATCATAAAATTAAAAAAAAAAACATTACCACCCCTGCCACCCCCAGCACCACCAGCTCCCATCACCGGAGAAAAATATGCCAACATTTTAAATAATGCCATAATGATGGCATATTTAATGAAAATGTTGGCATATTGAAGAGTAATTATGCCATCTTTTTGGCATTTTCAGAAAAATATGGCATTTTTTTTACCAAAAGTGGAAGAAATTTCACCAATCGGAGATGGTGGTGCTGGGAGGCGGCGGGAGGCGGTGGGAAAGGTATCCATATTTTTTTTCATTTTTTACGGATTTTTACTATTTTTTATTATTTTTTTAAAAAAATTAAAAAAATAAAAAATTAAATTTTTTATTTTATAAATGGTTTATAAATTTTTTATAATTTTTTTACGTTTTTTAAATATTTTTTACGTTTTTTATGATTTTATTATGAATTAAAGCATTTCTTTATAAATTAATACTCTTAGGGGTATTTAGGGTAGAAAATCAATGTTTAGTCCTATTTAGGGAATTTTAAAAGTAGTAGTCCTATTTGTGCTTTTTAGGAACTCATTAGTCCTATTTAGGACAATTTCCGAATTAAATGTGGTTATTAAGGATGTTTTTACTTGGACTGTAATTTGTCCCAGACCAGTCCAGACCAGATCAGACTAGTTCAGACCAGACCAGACCAGACCAGACCAGACTTGGATAGTTATAAAAATACAAAGAAATCAGACCTTACCAGACCAGACCAGACCAATTCAGACCAGACCAGATCAGACCAGACCAGACCAGCAAATTACTAGGGCTGGGACTTTGGAACCAAGAACCGGAGAACCGAACCGGACCGAACCGTTATGACCCGGTTCGGTTCGGTTCCAACATTTATTAGTTATTTGTTAACGGTTCGGTTCCTATTTTTTATTAACGGTTCGGTTCTCGGTTCCTGAAAAAAATATGTACCAGGAACCGTTAAGGAACCGTTATATATAATAATTAAAATTATATATATTTCTTACGAGTATATATATTTTATGTATATTTACTTATTTATTTTTATATTACATTCATTATTTTAGTTTAGTTATTCAACTATTTAAAACTATTATTCACTTCAACCGATTCTCTTAGGCTTCTTAGGCCTCTCATTAGGTCCAAACTCGAGCGGGTCGGAACTCGGAAGGTCCAAACTATTTAAAACTATTATTCTCTTTAACTGGTTCAACATATTTGTTTTGTAATTTCAAACGTTGAATGTCTTTTTGACAAAAATTTAGTCGTGATTTGTAAGATTTTTTTCAAAGACTAAGAACCGTTAAATGACAAGAACCGAACCGTTAAGAACGGTTCGGTTCCTTATCGGTTCTATAAAATAATTTATAAGAACCGAACCGTTAGTAAAATTTCATATTTTCAAACGGTTCCACATATTTTGCCTAGGAACCGAACCGGTCCCAGGCCTACAAATTACAGTCCAAGTAAAAACATCCTAACTCTAGTAAGTATAAGGATATTTTTACTTGGACTGTAATTTGTTGGTCTGGTCTGGTCTCTTTGTATTTTTATAACTATTCAAGTCTGATCTGGTCTAGTCTAGTCTAGTCTAATCTTATCTAGTTTGTGATAGATTACAGTCCAAGTAATAACATCCTAATTGCGACTTTAGTCATAATTACGTATGTTCAAGTTTCACATTTAAGTAACCATAACATTATTGAATATTGATTATAGTATTTTTTTTCTTATTTTATAAAAAACCTCTTGTTGATGTTAATGCCCTCGCACCCTGAGAGCCCAACACAGGGTATGTTAGTGTGGTTGTTTACTGAAATAATGAGACAAGGAAAGAGGTAAAGTGCATATCCTTACAACACACTTATCAAAGCCCGAATCTCTAGCTTGTAAACTAGCTGGTGTGCCCTCATAGCCTCATAGGATGACCCCCAATTATAAAATCGTCTATATCTAATATTCTCTCTGTCCCATTTTACCTGTCTTACTTTCCTTTTTGGGTTGTCCTAAAATCAGTGTCTACTTTCTTTTTTGGAAAGAAATATGTGGTCTACACCATTTCACTTTATTATACTCAAACCTCAATCACAACATTTACTTTTTCAATCACTTCATTAATAATCGTGTCAAGTCAAATTAAGACACAGTTTTTGGGTTTCCATCAATATTTTGATAAAGCACATCCCAAAGCAAGATGGTTGCAAGGGTGCAACCCCATTCAGGAGATATCATTTCGGGCGATGTAGGTGAATCTGGGCGAGACAAATGGCCCATCCGGACAGGCCTACATTCCGAACGTTATGATGTTTTTACTTGGACTGTAATTTGCTGGTCTGGTCTGGTCTGGTTTGACTGGTCTAACCTGGTCATACCTACTCTTTATATTTTTATAATTATCCAAGTCTGGTTTGGGACAAATTACAGTCAAAATAAAAAGGGAAATTCTAAATGCACTCCGGTTTTTGCTAAGCACAGCCTTTTTTATCGAATTTGTTTTAAACAAATCGACTGAGTTTACCAACTTACCCTTCCTAAGACTACTTTCTTTTCGACTGGTAAAGCAAGCCCCAAATGTCTTCCATGGCTGTCATCAACTCCTTAAACGAGCCTCAATCTCATGGAGGATGTGGAGGCTACGGAGTGGACGTCAGGCGGCAGCAGTGGTCACAAGGCTGGTGGCCGCAAAAGGTGGTGGGAGAGGTTATGGCGGCGGTAACTGCCTTTGCTTTGCTAAATTCCATGCTCTCAATTGCTTTCTGGAGCCAAGTGATTGTTAGATGTGTCGGAAAGCCTTCACACCTTCTTCGACTATACACCCTAAGGGAATTTCTGTTTGGTGCACATTTCAATTGGATTTTAAAATGTAACTTGGGTTTTAAGCAAATCAAAACTAACAATTGCTCATCCAATAATTCAGACATCTCTGGCGAAGTGGGGGAGAACATCTCCATCGGTTGAGATGATCGAGAGGGTAGTGGCATAGCATAGGGATACAAATATACAATAGACATTCCGTTTATATTTTAATTAATTAATTTTGATCAAGGGTTGTGAATAGCAATTGTGTGACTGCATTTAGGGGGTGTTTGTGAATATCAATTGTGCTGTGGGAGCAGAAGCAGAAGCTAGAGTGTTTGTATGAAAGTACAGAAGTGATTCTGGTACTCAAATTTACTCCTACAATCATTTTTTTTAGAAGTTGGAGGTGACCAGTTTCTGAAAACTGGTTCTGATTCTGCTTCTATTTTAAAAAAGAAGCAAAAGCAGAATCCATTCCAAACACCCCTTAGTATCCTTGGTATTTGTATCCTTATACTGATTGGGCATGTGGTGATATTTGGACTGAATACCTTGTCGAGCCTAATACCCCCAACACCTCTGAAACTATTATTTATCTAATTATTCATACAGATTTTCCTTTATAAAATCAAAACAAGGATGAATCCCTCAAAATATACTACGTAATTCGTTTGTCAAATACATTTTTGAGAACTTTAGGATCTCTTTGCATATTTGTAATACCTCTTTATGCCTTTGAGGCCTTTACGTACAAATAAGCTCCTTAATATAAAGTCTAAATAGAATTTAATTTCACCTAATATCTTAGTCCTTAATTATAAAAATTAGAGAGCACTTCGTACAAGCTTTTTTTGGAAGAACAAAAAAATAAGCTTAAGTAACCAAAATATATCATACCACGTACTATATTACTAAACCGGGAAAAGTTAAGTACTTATTAATTTGTTTAATCTTTTACCAATTTGTTTACTTATGAAAAAAATTATGAACATGTTTATTTCATCATTTCCAATGGATTTAAAGACTCACTATATTTTACCTTAGGAGTCTCAATATACTCCGTATAAAGTAAAATGGCTCATTAAATTGTTTGTGTTTCTTTACATTGTTATGAAACAACAGTAACCTCATACAATTTTTAATGCCATTTTCGTCATGTGTTATCCAGAGATAAGGCTGCGTACATTATCTGACCCACTTATCCCACTGTACGTAACTAGAAGCCTTTGTGGCACCTTGTAATGTTGTTGTTGTATTAATTATGAACATGTCAACTGGGAGACTTATGTTATACTTTAGGTGAATTAAAAGATTAGCATATAATATGATATTACACAAGATTTCTGACTTGTACTCACATTAGTTGATGAACAAAAAAATAACATGATAAGTGTTGGCAATTGGTGAACAGTCTCGGACTTTAGTGCAAAAAAACATGGATGAATAACGACATGGAATTTATAATACATTCACTGTTCGCCATACATGGATAACCAGTAGCCATAACTTTATCAAGTTATTGCCCTAAATAGGAGCTGAAGAATGAAATTATTCCAAAATAGGAGTCCCTATAAATTTATTCCCAAAATAGGAGTTTTTAGTTAATCGGTCCATTTCTTTTACCGGTTATACCCCCGTTCGTATATTAAGCTTCTTTTGATTTTGTCAGACTCCATCTTTATTTTGTCAGGCTTTTCCCACATCTCACCTAACCTTTTTCTCACGCAACCCTCTTCCCCATCCCCTTTTTCATCCTATGTCTCCTCCCATCTTTATCTCATCACTTCTCGATCTACTACCTCTCCATCTCCAGCGGACTATAATAAGGATGAATGGTGAGAGTTTATCCCCAACTCCAGCCACCGGCGGGCAGCGGTGATTCCGGCGACCACATCAGTAAGTTTTTATACATCTCTTCTCCTCCTCTTCCTCCTCTTCTTTCTTCTTCTTCTCCCTTCTTTTAATTCACTCGATGGCAACCTCTTATGTTGTTTGCTGGATTTGCTGCGTGAAGTTACAACCAATTTTTTAATCTGATGTTTGCTTCATTTTGCCTCTTTCCAGATCTACTTTATCGTTCTTTTTTTATTTTTTATGTTTCCTCTTTCAATTTTCTTTCAACTGTTTTTATTTTTTTATGTTTTCTCTTTCAATTTTCTTTCAACTGATGTTCTCTCAACATTTTATTAAAATTCTACTCTGTACAATACTGATTACAATTTTTGACATATGATTTTGATCATCTTTTTTAACTTTTCAGACTTTTTTAATTTAAAAATTTGTATAATCTCTATTTTAAGGCTTTTTTTTTATTTGAATCTAAATTTTTTATAATCTCTATTTTAAGGCTTTTTTTATTTGAATCTAAAATTTTCATAATCTCTATTTAAATAAAAATATTACTCTTCATGCAATACTAATAATGACATTTTTTCCATTTGAAAATATTATTTTGCCACATAATGCCATTTTGTTTACATTAATTCCATCACGATGGCAATAAAATACAAGTCGTAATGTCATGTTTTTCCATAATTTTTGCATTTAGTGCCATGTGTATGACAATAATTTCCCTTTCAAATCCAGTGTCTGTAATGCCTTGAAAATGTCAAGATGGCAATAACATTCATATCTGTGTTTTAATACAAATGTCATTAAAATAACATTCAAATGACCAAATTATATTTACAACACTTTTTACATATTTTAGATTGGCGGTAGTGGAGCCAAAGGTGGTGGTGCGGATCCGGCGATAACCGCCGGTATTACACAAGACGGCGGCGGTGGTGACTGACGGCGGAGGTGCCTAGCGGCGATGCAACCACGCCAGTGGTGGAAGAGGCGGTTGTGGAGATGGTGGTGGAGGTGTCTGGTGGTGACGACGTCTGGCGGAGGTTACAATGGTGGCGGCGGTCAGTGGTGGAAGAGGCGGCTCCGAAGATGACATGGGTGGCGACGACAGGTGAGGGACCACTGGCGACGGATGAAGCGGCGGTGGCGACGGCGGCGGATGAAGCGGCGGCGGCAGCAGCAACGACGGCGGATGATGGTGCATCGGCGGCTCAGAAGTTGGTCATTGGCCCTAGGTTGTGTCGATGATTGTCTATTGTACTATGGAGTATTGTGTTTTCTACATTTTGATTTAAATTATTAATAAACATATGTGCTTGAGATTCATTAAGGGCATTTATGTCAGCTCACCTCCTTTTTACTCCCACTAAACCTAACGGGAAGCTCAACTCCTATTTGTGCATAATTTTAATTTTTTAGTCCTATATAGGTAGTTATCTCTAACTTTATCAGGTCATTATAAAACTTTCCATATAAATGTTGCAGAGATTGAGACAACCCTTTGGTCCATGGAATGGGTTGTGGCTGAAGGAAAAGTCTAAAGTGCATGAACGAATCAAAGGCCACAACACGACAACACACCAATAGTCAATACCTTTGCTAGTGCCTGCCATTCTGCCAATACATGAACCTGGTAGAGGTAAGGGTGAATTAGGTTCCGGGACCGGTCTGAATGGAACGGGACTTGGTGAGGAGGTTCACGAGGACCTGTTGCGCAGCCCCGGGCTATATTGTGATGGAGACCAACCGGTTCGGTTCCGATATGGTCTCGATGGCTAATACATTATCCCCGCTCTTTTTTCTATTGATTATATTGAAGCATAGACCGGTTGGGGGCATGGGTACTTCCTCCAACGGCTCTTAGGACCGTTGTAGATTTGTAGGGTTGGGTGGGGCTCAGTAATTTTTTCCCTATAAATACTTTTCATTTTTCTCATTTTCCCATTCTTCAATTCTCTCTTTTCATCATCTATTATTTCTTTATTACTCCGTATAATAATATAATTTCTATCCTCAACTTACTTAATATTATTAATACCACATATATTCATATATACATAATATACATATAATAGTGATTAAAATACTGATTAGGGTAGACTATAATATTGTACAACATTTTCATTTATACTACAATTCCATTAAAATTCCATTATTTTATTAGTCATATTTTTATTATTTAGCATACACTACAAAAAAACATGCGTTTAGTCACGGACCGTAGTCACGGATTTGGTCCGTGACTAGTCTAGTCACGGACTAGTCACGGAAATTTAAAAAAAAAATTAGTCACGGCTTTGACCGTGACTATGGCCGTGACTACACTTAGTCACGGTCGTGGTCCGTGACTAACATCCTCCGATTGGCCCGTTTCATTTTCCGGCCTGGCTTGTTTTACTCCGGCGACTTAGTCACGGCCATATCCGTGACTAAAACCGTGACTACGATAAAAAAAATTAATTTTTCATCTCCCATAAATTAAATCGCAACGGTATTATGTACGGACAAATTTAGTCACGGCCATGGCCGTGACTATTTCCGTGACAACTTTGATTAACACGTCATTTACACGTCATTAACACGGGTTGGACGCGTAATGGACACGGTTTTGCTTAGTGACGGACAAATCCGTGACTAAGTCCGTGACTAATTTTTTTATATATGCAGGAGCAGCTCATTCAACAGAACCACACCAATTCATTCCCAGTATATACAGTATTTGTTTGAAAGATCGAAGGATGTAGTCTATCTTCTATCATTTTCCCTGATAAAGCGTGACTAAATTCTAGACCGATTTTAGTATATATACTACATCCTTCGATCTTTTAAAGCGTTAAACGCAAGAAAGTTTATTTATATGCATAAACTTTCACATAACCGTAATTAAGAAGGAGGTTCTAAATTCTTCTTTGCCTAAGAGTAATGGAAAATATCTTGTCGGGTTAAGTATAGGAAGAAATGCAATAAGAACCAGTCTCGATAGACAATGACGATCAACAATGGTATCACAAATTTCATCAAGTCATTTTATCCTTCGGTTTTAAGATGAATGATGTAGATGATTGTGTATATCATAAGTTCAGTGGGAGTAAAATCTTTTTCCTGGTCTTATATGTTGATGACATTCTTCTTGCCACTAATGACATAGGCATGTTGCATGAAACCAAGAGATTTCTATCAAAAAAAATTGAAATGAAAGATCTTGATGAAGCCTCCTTTGTATTAGGAATTGAAATCCTTCGTGAGAGATCACAAGGAATCTTAAGGTCCTTAAAAGAGCAAGGGAGCGATGCAAGCTCTTCCACACAAGTGGACAAAGGTAAACATATTGATAATTTAAGATGTGACTTATTTATATACTCCGTGTGATATATTTAATTCTAGAGAGAAGTGAGAGTTAGAAAGAGAAAGTGGGTAATTATTATTACCCAACCCCTATAACTACATCCAAGGGGAGTATTTATAGGAGTAAATGTGGATTTGGGCTCCTAGCCTTGGGCTTAGAAGGCCATTACAATAATCATGCCCTCTTTGGGCGGAAGAAGGCATCTAATGGGCTGAGTACAATACTTAATAAAAAAGATAAAAAAAAGTACATTCTTCCAGGGGAAGACCCTGGCTGATGCGTGCCCCTGGCCGACGCGGTCCATAGCCGACGCGGGGTCCACTATGTCTTCAGGTGATCTTCTGGGCACTTTCCCCTCTAGCCGATGTGGTCGC